CCCTCCCTATGAGTCAAGGTTAGTGCAAGTTCGTAGTCATAGCCATCGACTACTTTACTAAGTGGGCAAAAGCTGAAGCCTTAGCCAGAATAATGAACTAGAAGATAAAGGACTTTATATAGAGGAGTCTAGTCTACTGCTTCGAAATACCTCACGCCATTGTAAGTGATAATGTCAAGCAGTTTGACAACAAACTCCTCAACTGTTTCTGTGCAGACCTCTATATCAAGCAACCTTACTCCAGCCCTACCCATCCACAAGAAAACGGGCAAGTAGAGGTTATCGTCAGGACTATACTCCGTAATTTGAAAGCTAGACTGGAGAATGCAAAAGGAAGATGGGTAGATGAACTCCTAGATGTACTATAGGCCTACCGGATGACACCACGTGGCCCCACGAGTGAGACCCCTTTTTTCCTTAGCCTATGGGATAGAGGCGGTTATACTCGTCAAAATTGGGAAACACTCCCATAGGGTCCAGCACCATGACCCTACCAACAATGAAAAAGGTCTCCGCATTAACCTCTACTTGGTAGAGAAGAAGAGAGAGATAGTCATGCTCAGGAATGCAAAGTACAAGCGTCGTATGATCAAGTACTACAACTCGAGGGTAAAGCCTCACTCCTTCTTACCCGGGGACCTAGTCTTCAAAAAAGTCATCATGTCTACCAAAGACTCCCGGGAAGGAAAAGTGGGACCCAACTAAGAAGGACCCTACACCGTCACAGAGCAGTGAGTTATAAGTTGGTGGACGCTATTTATATTATTTACCTTTTAGAAGGACCCTACAGAATCCAAAATTTTGAAGGAAAGGTTCTAGCCCATCCATGGAACGCAAAGCATCTAAAGAAATATTACCAATAGCTAGGGGTAGTGAGTTATAAGTTGGTGGACGCTATTTAGATTATTTACCTTTTATTTTGTTCAACTTTTTTCAAGTGTTTACTTTGAATTATGGAATAAAATTTCACAATATTTTCTCAAAAAAGTTGTATTTCATTCAAGTTCATGAAACTTTTACAAAAAGATAGAATACCTATCAACAAAAAATACAAAAGTGCCATGCCACTACTGACACTCATTGTCTCTGCTCCCATCACTCGAGTCCTCCTCATTTTTCTCTAGAGCCTCATAAGGTAAAAAGCCAGAGAAGTCATAAGCAGGGAATGTTGCTAAGACCTTCCTCTTGAGCTCATCATAGCCGTCAATGAAGGCACCTGCCTTGACCCTCTCAGCAATATCCCTTATCTCCTCCATCTCTATGGAGTAAGCCTCTGCCCTTGTAACTCTCTCAAGTGTTACCTAAAGGTCAGCCTCAAGTTAAGTAGCCCTCTTGTGTGTTATCCTCAACTGCTCTATGGCATCCTATCGTGCCTGTTGCTCGAGCCCTAACAGCTTCGCGGCATCCTCTCGTACTTGCCGCTCAAGCCCTAATTGTTTTGCGACATCCTCTCGTGCCTGCCGCTCAAGCACCAACTGCTCTTCAATAGCCTCACGTGCCCGCCTCTCCACTGTCTGGCTATTGATTGCCTCCTTGATCTTCAGTGTACTTGTGAACAAGCAGGGCAAAATAGCGGCCACCTACAAGCAATCAAAAGTAAAATATAAAGAAGAAAAGTCAGGTACAAAGCCAAGAAAAAGTATAGGACATACTAAAACAAAGCCCTCCACAACAACGTCAACAACGCCCTCAAGACCCCGAGAGGCAACCTCCTCAACTTCAAAGTCTCTCCCTGGCCAGCCTCACGTCCCTCAACATAGATGCTGAGGCACTACCCAAAGAGGGACAGCTAGGTGGACCCTTTGTTTTGGTGGGAGACCACGTTGGAACCTCAGCCCCCGTAATAGTATTGGGACCATCCTTGGGGGGTAAGGAGACATCAATTAGAGAAGGACGAGGTGCATCACCAAGCTTCGCCTCTTTGGGACTAGCCTAACCGATGGGCCTTGGCTGAGAAAAACTAGGGGCGCTAGACTTTGCCTTCTTAGAAGGAAGGGGAGAAGACGCTGCCCTGGAAGCACACACCATCTCCACCACTGATCTATCAATGAGGGCACCAGCAGAATTAGAGTGAGATAAAAAGCCTACAAAGTGATGGCTACAAAGAGTCCGCTGAAGAAGTCAAGTACTTTCCTCTTCGACTTCGGAGAAGCCTTGGGATCACCAGACGCCGACATAATCCCAGAAAACTCCTTAAATAGATAGTCACGTACCATTTGAAACCTGTTCTCTTACTCAACAGACAACGTTGGTGGAGCTACAAGAAAGTCATTTGCACTATGAGAACAAATATGTGATGACTAGAACAAAAGTTAAAGGTAGGGTTCTTACCCAACTTGGTCTTGGGTATAGTATCTCATCTGGAGGGCACCAGTTTTATGCATTAATAAAGATCTCCGGTCACCGCTGCCATTCCCGAGAGTGTAGTAGGTTACCCGAACTGAATCACTATAAATCTGTGTGTTTGCTCTTATTTACTATTTTACCATTGATTATCTTATTTATTGCTTATTAATTATGCCCGTTCATATACTTGACTGTTGATCTTGCATGAGAACACTTTTGTGCATCATCAATAACTTTTGTTTCTATTAAGAGATAAAGTAATGATTTGACTATCTATTCTGTAAAAATGCCAAAATTACCCTTTTATGTAAATATAAACAAATGCCCTCAACCTTTTTCTCATTGTATATGTCTCAACTAGCCATTAAGCGTAATTTCTATCATTATATTATTCCAATGAATTTTTATCATTTTAAAGTATTTCATGATAACTTTATTGTTATATTAGTCATCATATTATCACTCATTTGGTTACATAATCAAGTTTTTATAATTGTTATAGTTAAAATAATTTTTCTATTATAAAAATTACAATCAATATCAAAATCTCATCAATTTCTAACTACTCTGCTACCACCGGTCCTCCATAATGTCATCTGACCACTTTTCACACATTACCTTTAATATATAAAATTTAAATATTATTTGATAAAATTTAATATTAATTAAATAAATTTGGTCTTACTTTGATAAATTTAAATATTAATTTGATAAAATTAAATACTAATTTAGTATTGATTTGATAAAATTTAATATTAATTGAATAAATTTGAATGTTATTTTAATGAAATTGAATGTTCATTTGGTGTTAAATTAAAGAAATAATATTAATTTGATAAATTTAAATGTTAAATTAATGAAATTTAATATTCTATTTAATATATTAAATTTTAATTTAATAAAATTAAATATCATTTTTGTGTTGATTTGATGAAATTAAATGGTAATTTAATGTTAAATTAAAGAAATAATATTAATTTGATGAAATGAAATATTAAATTAATATAACTAAATACTAATTTGATAAAATTAAATATCAATTTTGTGTTGATTTGATGAGATGGAATGTTAATTTAGTTTAAATTAAATAAATGGCATTAATTTGATAAAATTAACTATCAATTTTGTGTTGATTTGATGAGATGAGATGAGATGAAATGTTAATTTAATTTAAATTAAATAAAAGACATTACTTTGATAAAATTAAATATTAAATTGATCAACCTAAATGCTAATATGGTAGAACTAAAAATGGGTGCATTGAAATTTCAGAATCAGGAGAGAGTATTGTTAACGTTTGGTCTATTTACAAGAGGTGTGGATAAAATTTATCTTATAAAATACTCAAGTGTACTTCTATAAATTAACCATTGTGGTTAACGTCGTAACCCGACAATCACTGATAGGGGGGTGACAATGAAGTTTCAAAATCGGAAATGAGTGTTATTGAGTTTAAATCTAACTGTAAGAGGGTGTGTGTGAATTTTTCCCAACATTTTATGGGTACTGCAAAGGGTGGGGCTATTTTCATCCCACAAATCTCCATTTTCACCCCATTAAACTCTAAATTATAAAATTACTAATCACACCCCTTTTATACTCACCCCATTGGTAACTAAGTCCATTTCATTCTATACCCGCTTCAATAATGACTAAATTTATCTCAATCTTCACCTTTAGGATTTCTTTCTATACCATCTCACATAGTCTATACGAAAACATACTCAACTTGATTATTTACTATAGATCTCTCAAATAATATTCAACACCAATACCATATGCATTATATCTTTTTTAATTATTGGTTCATCTCTTATAGTGTATCTTATTTATTGTGGAATTGTCGTTATTGGCAATAAAAACCTATTCATTGGGTGGCGAGCCTTCTATTAGACGTCGAAGTGACTATCATTGAGGAAGGACCTCATAGTATTGATACCCACATATTTGCTCTCCATAGAATTAACGTCTTTGATATCTACAAAGTTTGTATACATATAGTATTAACACATATATAATTATGTGTGTGTGTATATATAAAAATATAAAAACTTAACTTATTATTTTTTTAAGAGAAATTCACATAGAATGATTAGAGTGAAAGCTTATATGTTTTTTTTGGTAACATTCAATACCAACTTGAATATCACTTGATATATCAATACTAAATAATCAAGTTGATTATATAATATATTTGTATAAACTGTGTGAGATAAAATATAAAAATAAACCCTAAAAAAAGATTGAGATAAATTTAATAATTAGTGGGGTGAGTATAGAATGAAGTGAACTTAATTACTAGTAACGTAAATATAAAAATGGTGAACTTAATAGTTTTATAATTTACAATTTAATGAAGTGAAAATAAAAATTTGTGAAGTAAGAATACCTCATCCTATTACAGAAGCTACCTCAATCCAAATGATCAATGGTTTTCTTGTGGTGTACCCTAATTTTTTTCTTTGGGTTATGTGGTTAGACGAAGAAAGGAAGTGTTGTAATTTTACGGATTAAAGAATCTTAGGAGAGTTGTAACTTTCTTTTTTTTTTTTTTTTTGTGTGGTAAATGACCTTCATTTGGCCATGACACTTTCGTTGGAATAATCCCCGCATAGAATCGTACTCCAGCCGTCAGTAATATCTCCATTTCAGATATGGACCCCCACGACACCTCCCCCCCTCCGAAACAAGAACCACCATCGAGTAGTACGACACCACCACCACTATCCCAACCACCAATCACCTCTCCTCACCACCACTGCACCACCACAACTTGCATCAACTGCGGTGGCCCAACCACTTTCCCGCCACCAACACCACCAGAGCCACCCACTTACATCCCCATTCGCATGCCGGCCCTCAACCTCCCACCCAACTCCGCCACCAACACCCAACAAGCCATAATCCTCACCCCTGTGCCACAGTCCCAAAGAGTCCCCACCATCTCTCTTTCTCACATCTTCCAAACACCCACCAAACGAATCCACTCCAAAAACGACATCGTCCGCTTGCACTCCTCCGACACCCTCAAGAACTTCCTCGGCTTTATCGTCGCCCTCTCCGAGTCCATTCGCACCCACAAACTCTCAGACCCCTGTAACCTTTCATCCACAGTTGATTCCATCATCTCCATCCTCCAAACCCTAATTCAATTTATCGATGAAATCCCTCCGATCCCACAATCATCGCGGTACGGTAACCTTTCCTACAGGACCTGGCACGATCGCATGACTGGCAATGCTGAGTCATTCATGCTACAATTTCTCCCACCCGATCTCCATTCTGCAACGATTGAACTCGTCCCTTATTTCACTGATAGCTTTGGCAATTCGAGCCGTATCGACTATGGTACAATGCAAAATAGCTGTATTATATTGTGTTGCATGTTAACTGTGAGTGAAATACTACTAAATTATGGATTTTTGGGTGTCTTTCACTCACAGTTTCCAGTTATAGATTGTAATATGATTTTTTGGAAGGTGGTGAAAGATTATGATTTGTAAGTAATCTCATCTATATTTTTTTTTATCATAGGTACTGGCCATGAAACCAATTTCACGGCGTGGTTATATTGTCTAGCTAGAATGGGAATTATTAAAGAAGGTGATTATCAAGCTGTAGTTTCTAGGGTTTTTGTTAAGTATTTGGAGTTGATGAGGAAATTACAACTGGTTTATTGTCTCGAGCCGGCAGGGTCACACGGGGTATGGGGGTTAGATGACTATCACTTTCTTCCTTTCATTTTTGGGTCATCACAGTTGATTGATCACAAGTATATGAAGCCTAAGTCTATTCATAATGAAGATATATTGGAGAATTTTTCAGATGAGTTTATGTATCTTTCATGCATCGAGTTTGTTAAGAAGGTAAAGAAGGGTTTGTTCGCGGAGCACTCGCCATTATTGGATGATATTAGTGGTGTGCCAAATTGGAACAAGGTGAATAGTGGGTTGCTTAAGATGTATAAAGTTGAGGTGTTGGAAAAAGTTCCTATCATGCAGCATTTCCTGTTTGGATCGCTCATCAAATGGTATTCTCTATCCTTTTCTCATATCTAATTACTAATGGGCAATTGTCTGATCAATTGTTTTGTGCTTCTTGATTTGACCTTACCGTGAAATAAAGACTTATAAATTTTATGATCTTTGAGTCATGGAGAGTCAAAGAATTTGAAATTGTTATGTAGTCGGCATTTGATTTTGGTAGACATTATCTGTGGTGCATGATGTGAGCTCATCTTAAGTTTGTTTAAGACTTTTCATCTTTGAGTTGGAAGGTTGCATTGTTCTCTTTAATTAATGAGACTAATCTAAGTCATGACTCTTGTGATAGAAGAAAGTGGGTCTATGAGTCGTTTGGTGTCTTTTCTTTTGAATCTTTGTTTGGCTTGTTAATGGATGATTCTTTAGGTTCTTTGTTTCCCGTCTGTGATGATTTTGAAAGTTAAAGTGCCCATTCAAGAGCAAGTTTTGAATGGACTTTAGCTTATGGAAGGAATAATAGCAATGACATACTTTGAAGGAGAATAACCCTAACTTGAAATTCACCACAGTGGTGTGTGATGTGAAGGTGTAATTGTGAGAGTGGTGATCATTTATTCTTACATTGTCCAATGGCATTATTTTTCAGTACAAATTATTTCAAGTGGCGGGTATGAGTTGGGCGATCTTTGAGACTTTATCTTCTATATTTGTTGAGGATTTCAACGGGTTTGGAAGGCACAATAAAGGGTCGACTCTTTGGAATTGTACAATGTTTGCAATTGGTGGAAGGCTTATGAGATTAGATTTACTTTTTGGCATCATTTTGGGCCTTAATTACTAAGGATTTTGAAAAAATTCCGCTCTTTTGTATTTTGATGGGATGGGAAAGGTTTATGTGACTCATAGTTATGTTTTGTTTTTTTTTGCCGTTTTTGTTCACGATGGACATCTCCATCCCAAGATTCTCTATGTACTATTTGCACATTAATAAAATCTTTTATTTCCCATGAAAACAAAGCCTCACCTCCCAATCTAAACCCCTTGACTAAACCCACTACATTTGCTATAATAAACATTCTACCCAAAGAGATCAACCACCAAATAAAAAGAAAAGGAGATAAAGGGGTCTTCTTGCTTAAAACCCCTCAAAGCATTAAACCACTCTTTAAGTTTCCCATTCACAAACATTGAGAAAGTATGAGAAGAAAAGAAATTCTTGATCCAATCTCTCTCTCTCTCTCGAATCCGCTTGTCTCATTATAAAATCTATGAAATTCTCGTTAACTTCCTCATAAGTATTGTCAAAACCCAATTTAAACAAAATTCCTTTCGTTCCTTTCCTGTTAATACCTCCACCACCTCATTTGCTAGTAGAGCTATATCTACAATATGCCTTCCCTTAACAAATGATTGATCCTAAGTAACTGGTTCAGCCAAAAGCTCATCGAGTCTTCTCCACACCACTTTAGTGATTGACTTCATACAAGCTAGTCACTGACCTTGCATGCCTATAATCCTTAACCTTAATTGAGTGGTCTTTCTCAGGGGCCAATCCAATGAAGGTAGAATTAACACGTCATCCCCCTAAATCTAGTTGCAAAAAACTTGTGGAAAAAATTCATTAGGTCATCCTTGACAGTCTCCCAACTATTATGAGTAAAAGAAATAGTAAAACCATTAGGTTCTCATTTTTTGAAAAAAAGCCATTAGATCCTGGGGATTTTTCATTATCCATGTCTAAAACAACCCTTTTAATCACCTCCTCAAATGGTATCTCAACCCAATTTTCTTACTTAGGTAGTATAGGACACCAATCAACACCTTCGATTTTAGGCCTAAAAAGGAAAGCTTTAGTATACCTTTTGTATAAAATCTAGTAATCTTCTTGGCAATCATCAATGGGTTTGTCACAATCCCATTTGACTCGGTTCTTAACTCTCAAATATTTTTTTTCTTCTCCCACCATTTGTTATTCTATGGAGGAACTTAGAATTAACATAATCTCAATCCATTTGAAAATATTTTGTATAAAACTAGTCTCTTCCCTCACTATAATCTCAATCCTAAGTTGATCAGTTGATACAACACCACTTGCCTCCTTGCTATTTTAACTTCTAAGTTTCCCTTCAAATCTTAGTCTTTTTAGCTATAAGGTCACCAAAAACTGTGTATTCCACACTTTCAATTTATTTTTCACCAGTTCAAGTTCTTCAGAACCTTAAAACACTATTCATTTCTCCTTGCAACTCGTCCACTATTCCCACAAAAATCGAAGAGATACTGATGAGACAACCATATAGTTTTAAATCTAAATTGTGGATCCTTGTTGCAAAAGAGGGGGCTTAAAAGCAATAGGAAAATGTTCAAACACTAGCCTAGACATGACCTTTTGCACATGATATGGAATCGGATCTTCCCACTTATGTGTAAAAAGGAATCTATTTAATCCCCATTGCAATAATGATGTCTGAACATCTAGACCATGTAAACTGAGCATTCTTTAGAGGAATATCTAGCAATCCATAACTCAGTATATTCATCATGCTACATGATGGTTCAAAGTATCTATTGATATCGATACGAGTTGGCCGAGTTGTATTCGAGACGATATCGTTACATGATACGTATAAACTCTAAGTCATGCATGTTTCTCCCGAGTCTTTCAAGTTGTATTCGAGTCGTCGAGTTATTGTCACCAAATCAGTTGATATGATTTTGCGACGCTGTGGTATGACTTGAATCTTTTATCATGTTCAACATTTTTTTTTAGGTCGCATTGCCCGATACCAAGTTGCGACACCGCAACCAATGTGTTTCAGAACCATAGTTATCAAATCGTGTATTGGAAGGCGTATTATTTTTTAAAATAGTGTATCGTATCGTGTATCGTAAGATACGGTGCAATTTTAAATAAATAATAAAAAAATATATATACCTTTGAAAAAAATCATACACATAAAAATATAGTATTTCATTAATACTCCACCACCTATTCAAGTCATCAACATAGTTTACTAATATTATAATGCAAAGCTTACAACCATAGTTCACTAATTCAAACTTCAAACACCAAAGAGACTTTTAATCCAAATTTTTAACATCCATTTTGAACTCAATCCATAAAATTAATCAAAATTCAGAAATTTTTATACAAAAAAAAAAATTAGTCTTATTTAGACAAAACGACGTCGTTTCAAAAAAAAAAAAAGGTTTTGCGCGTATCAGACATATCGTACCGATACGTATCGTATTGTAAAAATGTATCGTGTATCGGACAATACAACGCAAAAATGATACATAACTACGATCCGTATCGTTTTACCTCTGTATCGTAATGTATCGTACGATGCGTATCGCGTATCGTACTAACAACTATGTTCAGAACTCTCTAAGTTAGATAATTGATACGCAAGGATCAAAATATTGATTCGAAACGGTCGAAACATTTGAAACGTTTCTGTTTTCAAGGAGACCGAAACGAATCAGTGATGAAATCAAAATTTTAATACTTCAAAGTGTTTCATAATGTTTTGAAATATTTTTTTATATTTCAATGCATTTACATAATTATTTCGGAATGTTTCAAGATATTTGAAAATATTTTGGTATATTTCGATCAATGTTTTAAAAAAATAATTTTTAAATTTTTTTTTATTCAGTTTTCGAAATGGGTCGAATCTGTTTCTTAGGTGACCGAAACAATGCACCGAAACTAAATTTTGATCTTTGCTGACACGGCGACCTTGAACCATATGCTACCAGTAACCCTAGACCCACCCTAATTTCTAAGTTGAATTCCTGATTGCGTTTAAATACCTTCTACACCCCACCTAGAATTACACAAGACTTGCACATTATGCAAATCATCCCAAAAAGAAGACCTAGCCATAGACCAATTTGGACAGTGTAAAGAAGTAACCTAATAGTCCCCTCACCCGTTGAAATCAAGAAGAATCTAGACGAACAACAAACCAAAGACATAGTCAAATGCAGTAGCAAATCTAGTATTTCAAATCACAATAATACCCCAGATAGCCCACTTGACGGAATGATCTCTATCCTTAAATATAGACTCCAAATACTTCTCATTAATGTCTCATCAACTCACATTAACTTGGACTTTTGTAGCATAACTAAATCTGGAAAAGCCCTTAAAATCTTAATCATCTTTCTCTTCCCCCAATTTTCTAACACCTTCACATTCCAATTAACTAACTTCATTAAGATTCTTTGAACACCATCTCCCATTTTACCACTCCCTATCATATTTAATCTAACATTGTAAAGTTTTTGACTCCCTCTTACTCTTATTCTTTATCCTATTTTAAACTTTGAGGTAAGTTCTTAATTGTGTCGATTGTGTCTCTTATCAACTTATTTCCCACTGTCTTTTTTTTTTTTTTGATATCTTTCGTTGTCTTGAGGATAAATCTTTTTCTCTCACAACCTCTTTAGGAATGGATAGAATTAGTGTACCAGAGCTTATGATTTCCAATTAAATCGTAAAATTTGCATGTGCAAATTGTTAAGTGTGGAGAATTAACACAATATTAGAGAGAAACAGAGAGAAGTTAAAACTTAACCTAGCTCTCATCAATCACTTGTATTTATAATTAACCTATAATAATAAGAATTACACATATACCCTCTTACTATTAACAATTTACATATACTATCCTACTATTCTTAACATTCCCCCTTGAGCTGGACTATATATATCATATAATCCAAGCTTAGAACAAATAGCTGTAAGACGTGTACGACTCAATGCTTTGGTAAACATATCTGCAAGCTAATCTTCAGATTTCACAAATAGAGTTGTAATCTCCCCAGTTACTATCTTGTCTCGAATAAAGTGACAATTAACCTCAATATGCTTGGTTCTCTTATGAAACACATGATTGACAGCGATATGGATAGCTGCTTGGTTGTCACAAAACAACTGTAAAGGAAGTTGAACTGAAAACCCAATTTTCTTGAGGAAGTAGTAGCCAAGTCAACTCACTCGTCGTATGTGCCATTGCCCTATACTCAACCTCAGCACTGGATCTTGCTACCACGAGTTGTTTCTTCCT